ACAGCTCAGAGGATGGTTTATCTATTTTATTTTCAAAGTAGTTGGCAAAACATTTACCTATGAATTCTAACTAACTGATTACAAAGCATTATTTTAATAATTCTACTTCTTTAGCATATGACAGAACCACGATTATAGCTGGAAAGACCAAATGTTTTAAGACAATGGAAAAATATTAAAAGACAAATGTCCATTATATAACCAAGAATGCTAAATATTTGGAAAATGTAAATCTTCTAAAATGTAGTAGGCACTTCCAGAACTAAATATTGCAAATTATCCCACCATATGTCTTTTCTACTACCAACAATATTTGATAAGATGAAAAATACCAAGAAGACCCAAATAATTATTCAAAGTCACCATGTTAGGGTTTAACGTAATTACACAAGTATAAGTTTTGTCCAAGATGTTCCTGACACATGAAGCTTCCGGTTGAATTTCAGAAATGTTAACAAAAGTATCTTCCTTTTTTGCCTGTGAATGTTTGAGTATTGCTGTATCGTTGGCTTATATCCACTACAGATACTGGTTCTAGGCCAGCCCAAGGGTCTTCAAGCATTGAAGGCTTGAAATAACTTTCCAACTCATTAGACATTCTTTTTTCTCTACCACGCCCTGATCCAAAAGGTGTAGATGTCCTTGGAGAACCCTTTAGGAAGAAAACCATCAGTTAATAGAGATAACTTGTACTTTTTCTTTAAAAGCTAGCCGGGATCACACTGTTAGTTAAATGTTGTGCTTTAAACTGAAATATGTTCAATTTTAAGTTTTCCTTCAATGTAGTGTTTTTGTTTTTAAAAAGTATTTAAACAAATTTGATATGCTGGTTTACTAATAATTCCATGTCCACTGTCACCTCAAATACTTCTAGGTTTCTAATGTAACTTTGCAGTTCTCGTATTTAATCGATTGGTGATTAAATAATTGTATTTCAATTTTTTCCTCAAATTTCTATATTTTTTTCTGGATAAAAATTAAAACTTTTTAACCCTACAGCTTCAAAATTCCTAGAACTTTGCCATCTCACTAGCTCCAGACTCAAAGAGGTGGAGTTGGTTTAGCGTAAGAAAGGTGGAAAAGCACCGAATACATGCAAGTCGTAAACCACAGAAATCCTAACACACCAGAAATAGTCATTTCCCGTATTCATTCTCACTGAGGAATGGGAAACTTCCCCTATTGCAACGGTTTTTCCTTGAGAAGGCTAGGAGCAGAAGCCAGTGTAGTTCGAAAACAAAGGCGCGGGGGGCGGGGGAGGGCGGGGGAAGGGAAAAAGTGCTAGCAGTAGGAAGGCGGTAACAGCCTATAACCAATTCTATAACCTAGATGAGCTACATGCTGGAAATTCATTCGCTTTTTCCACTCGGAGACCCGGGGCTCAGAATAAAATAATTTTCTGAGACCATTTGGCAAGGCTCCTGACAAAGGAGAGGGAATTAGGGAAATTTGTGAATGAGTGGCAGTGTAGCGGCTAAAACCACGAGGATTCTAAAAGTACAGTTCTGCCACTTTCCAGGGTGAAAAAGAAAGTTACTTAACTTCTCTGAACCTCAGTTTATTCACCTGCAAAGCGGGGCTCACTTCATAGAGGATTAAACAAAATAATCCACGTAAAGGGATTATTAGTACCTTGCCTGCCATACAGTAAGAGCTCGGCAAACGCTATTACCTGGGGGTGGGTCTGCTGCTGCCCCGGGGAGTAGCCGAATTGCTGCTGGGACCCAGCGGGGGACCTGGAGTAGGAGCCAGAGTAGCCGCCAGAGGATGGCGACCCGAACCGGCCCCCGGGGAAGCTGCCGCCGTGTCGCGGAGAGTGGTTGCTCCCGTAGGGCCTAGACCGGGGCCCGTACGGCGATGTGTGGTGCGGGCTCCCGTATCCGTCCCGAGGGGAGGGCGGTCGTGGTCCGCCTCCGCCTGGGGTACCCCGGAAGCTGCTCCCACTACCCCAACCTCCTACCCCCGGGCCGGGGTAAGGAGGAGTCGGGGGTCGAAAATTCTGTCGATGCATATCTGGAGATGAAGACGAAGACCTCACAGTCGCGTTCTACCCCCGGAACTGTCCCGACTAACCCTTCAGAGATCTGTGGTTCTTAACCAAAACAGTCCTCCGCCCGCCAGCGCCGTACCACACATTGGTTCCGGCCTCATAAAGATTCACTGGGAGCAAGGGTATAAGTGGGTTATTGAATTGGGTATAGAAAGAGCGAATTTAAGTGAAGGAAGGAGGAAGAAGGGGATAAAAGAATGGCCGCAGACCCGGCCTTTGTACTGTCTACTCGAGACCGACTGACCAGACGCCTGCCCAGCGAGTGGTGCGGATCGGGAGCGCTCAGCCAGGCGCAGCCCCTCCCGGCCGGCAGGGGGCGGGGTCTGAGGTGTTCGTGGGCGCCCCCAGCGGCTGCGGGCCGCTCATGCAGTGTGTTCTGTCTCAAGCGGTGACCCAGGGTATCTGAGAAGCGTGCGATGCTGACGACAGTGGCGAGGGGCGCAGCTGTGCGGAGAACCGGCCTTCTCTCGGGCCCAGGCGGCAGAAGGGAGCTGTGGACCGGTTCCCCGAAGTCAGGTACCCTCCGAGACTCAATCCGTGCGGCAAAGGGGATCCCAGCCACAGTCTCCTACCACATGAGGCGCCCTAAGTAGAGCGCCCGAAATTTCCTCATGTTTCTGCTGCTCCGGCAGCCTGCACTTGTCTTTCTATCTCCACGCGCCATGGCTCCGTGGCCTCACCGCTGGCCTCGCCTGGCTCTCCCGCCGCCTGGGGGTCATCCTGCCCGGCGTCCAGGCCCAGGAGCTCGCTTCTGCGGTTCCGACCCCGCGTGCGGTCATACTGGCAGAGGTCTCGCTTTTCTGGGTTAACCCTACCCTCCCGTTCCCTAAGTTTAAAAAACTTAAAAAATTTACACCTGGCTGCATTTCAGAAGGGAGTGCAGACTGCATCTTTAACTTGAGAGGCTGTGCTAGCAAATGCCGGACTTTACTCCCTTCCTCGGATCAGCAGGTTAGGAAGCTGGCTAGGAAAAAGGGTTACTGATTTTCAAAGAGAGCAGTCTTTGGCCAAAACTCTTAAAATCTTGATTCTTTCACAGACTTTTAAGTTATAAAGAAAAATGTGATAATCCAATGACACCTAATGCAAAACACACCTTTGTACCAGACAGCTGGCCGATAATCTGTTTAGAATTTGAAATTTAGTTTTCCTACAATTTTATAGAACTTTCTTTACTCTTTCAGAATTTGGGAATGATAGTTACGTAGTTCTGAAATCAGCTTGTAGGAAACAGAATCCTAAAGAACTTTAGGACCCATTCAGTCTTAGCCTTATGGGTATTCTGGACCTGTGATTTTTCAGCCTATACATACACATTCTTGTAACTGCCATTCCATATGTCTTTGACATGTTTCGTGATATGCCTGACTGAAGAGCTTGATGTCTTCTCTGCCTCCATCCTCTTTGATGAATGGAGATCCACAGTTTTTTGTTTTTGTTATTCTGAGGCAATTCAGTTCAGCAAATTTCTCCTTTACAAGCAAGTTGTAGAATCAAGGCAGAATAGTGTCTTCAATTGTTTTGTGATGCAATTAAGGACGGAGGACCCTAGATTATCCTCTTTATTATATATTTCTGTTCTGGCACAAAATTCTCCGTTTTGGACATTGTCTTTGGTGCTTAGCTTAATGCCTGGTACTAAATTGGACACTCAAATATTAAATGAACGAATGGGGCACATCATATTCATCACTGATTCCATCTGTTGTCCCTTTTATATCACCAGCCAATCTACTTTTCATGGGAAGAAGGGAGCAGAAAAATGAAGGTGGTGGGAACCAAAATTATCTCTTAATTTTTTTATAACTGGCAAATGATTTGCAGAATTGAGTAATATATTGTAAGTTGTCCTTTTAGTTGGCTTACACTTTCCTATAGTGATAGCTTGCTATCTTCTACACATGTGAACTTTCATTAGAAAAAGAGGGAAATAAATACATTTGAAAAAATTTTTTTGGGTTCTCATTTTTTTTAAAAAATTATTTTATTAGTTTTAAGTATACAGTATATTGGTTAGTCATGTCTATGGTTTATAAAATGATCCCCCTAATTACTCTTTCTCTCCTCTGGCTCTCTACCTCGCCATTACATTAATACTAACTGCATTCCCTATGCTGTGCTCGCCATCCCCTTGACCAACTATCAACTACTATTTCGTACTTCTTCACCCCATTCTCCCAGCCTCCCAATCCCCCTCCCCTCTGGCCCATCACCAGATTGTCCTCTATATTTGTAAGTCTGTTTTCGATTAGTTTGTTTTTTTTGTTCCGTAGGTTCCACATATAAGTGAAATCATATGATATTTATCTTTCTCTGTCTGACTTATTTCACTCAGCTTAATAACCTCTAGGTCCATCCATGTCATTGCAAATGGTAGGATTTCATTTTTTTAATGGCTGAGTAATATTCCATTGTATATATAAACCATAACTTCTTTATCCAGTTGTCTGTTGTTGGGCATTTAGGTTTCTTCTATATCTTGGCTATTGTAAATTGTGCTGCCATGAACATATGGGTACATGGATCTTTACAAATTATTGTTTCAGTTTTTGTTGGATAAATACCCAGAAGTACAACTGCTGGGTCAAAAGGTATATCCCTTTTTAATTTTTTGAGAAACCTCCAGACTGTTTTCCATAGTGTCTGTACCAATTTGCAATCCTACCAACAGTGTATGAGAGTTCCCTTTTCTCCACATCCTCTCCAACACTTGTTGTTCTTTGTTTTATTGATGATACCATTCTGACAGGTGTGAGGTGATATCTCATTGTGATTTTAATTTGCATTTCTCTGATGATTAGTGACCTTGATTATCTTTTCATATGTCTATTGGCTATCTGTATGTCCTCTTTGGAGAAATGTCTGTTCAGGTCTTCTGCCTATTTTTTAATTGGATTTTGTTGTCGTTGTTGAGTTGTATGAGTTCTTTATGTATTTTGGATATTAACCTCTTATATGTATCATTAGCGAATATCTTCTCGCAGTTGGTTGTCTTTTTGTTTTGTTGGTGGTTTCCTTTTCTGTACAAAACCTTTTTAGTTTAATGTAGCCCTATTTGTTTATTTTTTCTTTTGTTTCCCTTGCCCAAGGAGATATATCCAAAAAGAAATTACTGTTAGCAATATCAGAGCGTTTACTGCCTGCGTTTTCTTCTAGAAGTTTTATGGTTTTGGGTCTTACATTTAAATATTTAATCCATTTTGAGTCTATTCTTGTATATGGTGTAAGAAGGTCATCCACTTTCTTCCTTTTGCGGTCAGTCTTTCTTTTGTATCTGTACAATTTTCCCAACACCATTTATTGAAGAGACTCTCTTTACTCCATTGTATATTCTTGCCTCTTTTGTCATATATTAACTGAGTGGATAAGCATGGATTTATTTCTGGGCTCTCTATTCTATTCCATTGATCAATGTATCTGTTTTTATGCCAATTTCATGCTGTTTTGATTACTATAGGCTTATAGTATACTTTGATATCAGGTAGTGTGATACCTCCAACTTTGTTCTTCATTCTCAAGATTGCCATGGCCATTCGGGGTCTTTTTGGTTCTACATAAATTTTAGGATTATTTGTTCTAGCTCTCTGAAAAATGCCTTTGGTATTTAGATAGGGACTGTACTGAATCTATAGATTGCTTTGGATAGTATGGCCATTTTAATGATGTTGATTCTTCCTACCCATGAGCATGGCATATGCTTCCATTTATTTGTATCTTCTTGAATTTCTTTTTTCAATGACTTATAATTTTCTGAGAACAGGTGTTTTACTTTCTTGGTAAATTTGATTCCCAGGTATTTTATAGTTTCGATGCAGTCGTAAATGGGATTGTTTTCTTAATTTCTCTTTCCGAAAGTTCATCACAAGTGTATAAAAATGCCACTGACTTATGAATATTAATTTTGTATCCTGCTATTTTACTGAATTCATTGATCAGTTCTAATGGTTTTTTGGTGGAATCTTTAGGGTTCTTGATATACAGTATCATGTCATCAGCAAATAATGAGAGTTTTACTTCTTCCTTTCAGATTTGGTTGCCTTTTATTTCTCTATCTTGTCTTCTTGCTGTGGCTAAGACTTCTAATACAATGTTGAAGGGGAATGGTGAAAGTGAGCATCCTTGTCTTGTTCCTGATCTTAAGGAAAATGCTTTTAGCTTTTCTCCATTGAGTTGTGATGTTAGCTGTAGTTTTGTCATAAATGGCCTTTATTATGTTGAGGTATGTTCCCTCTGTTCCCACTTTGCTGAGGGTTTTTATCATAAATGGATGCTGGATTTTGTCAAATGCTTTTTCTGCATGTATTGACATGACCATATGGTTTTTATTTTTCGATTTGTTAATGTGGTGCATCACATTAATTGATTTGCGGATATTGTACCAACTTTGCATCCCAGGAGTAAATCCAGCTTGATCATGGAATATGATATTTTTAATGTATTGCTGAATTCGGTTTGCTAATATTTTGTTGAGGATTTTTGCATCAATGTTCATAAGAGATATTGGCCTATAGTTTTCTTTTTTTGTAATGTCTTTGTCTGGTTTTGGAATTAAGGTAATGGTGGCCTTATAAAAGGAGTTAGGGAGACTTCCCTTTTCTTGAATTTTTTAGAATAGTTTGAGAAGAATAGGTGTTAATTCTTCTTTGAATATTTGATAACATTTGCCTATGAAGCCATCTGGTCCAGGACTTTTGTTTTTTGGGAGGTTTCTGATTACTGATTCTATTTCATTGGTGATAATCAGTTTAGATTTTGTTTCTTCTTGACTCAGTCTTGGGAGATTGTATGTTTCTAAGAATGTGTCCATTTCTCCCAGATTGTCCAATTTGTTGGCATATAATTGCTCATAGTATTTTCTTATGATCCTTGTATTTCTGTGGAGTCCATAGTTGTTTCTCCTCTTTCATTTCTGATTTTATTTATTTGAGTCCTCTCTCTTTTTTTCTTTGATGAATCTGGCTAAGGGTCTGTCAATTTTGTTTATCCTTTTAAAGAACCAGCTCTTGATTTCATTAATCTTTTGTATTGTTTTTTTAGATTCTATTTCCTTTTTTTCTGCTCTGATTTTTATTATTTCCTTCCTTCTATTCACTTTGGGCTTTGTTTGCTGTACTTTTTCTAGTTCTTTTAAGTGTAAGATTGGATTGTTTATTTGAGCTTTTTCTTGTTTCTTGAGGTAGGCCCGTGTTGCTATGAATTTCTGTCTTAGAACTACTTTCTCTGTGTCCCATAGATGTTGAGTCATTGTGTTTTCATTTTCATTTGTCTCTCGGTATCTTTTTATTTTTCCCTTGATCTGATTAATAACCCATTCAGTAGCATGTTATTTAACCTCCATGTGTTTGTGTATTTTCCAGTTTTTTTTCTTGTAGTTGATTTCTAGTTTCATACCTTTGTGATCAGAGAAGACGGTTGATATGATTTCAATCTTCTTAAATTTATTGAGACTTGTTTTGTGTCCTTACATGTGGTCTATCCTAGAAAATGTTCCATGTGCACTTGAGAAGAATGTATAT